GTGTGTGTGTGTCTGTGTGTGTGGACCTGGTCTTTCTTCAGAGTGATCTGACCCATCTCTCTGTTGCCGACAAAGGAGCGCGTCACCTTGTAGACCCTCTCTCCTCCTCGCACTCGGATGATGTAGTTGGCAGGTATGAAGCCGGTTCTCTCTCCGATCTTCCCCTGGTGCAACAGAAGCTTGGACGGTGAGGAGCTGCAGCTCCAGTTTCACAGCTAGACTTGTACTTACATTGTTTAATAATCTAATCTATTGTCCAGAGTGGCTTTGGAACCGGAGAGACTGATAAAAATAGGTGAATGGATGATGATGAGAAGGAGGAGGAGGAGGAAGAGGAGGAAGAGGAGGCAGCTGTTTCTGAAATATTTTCAGCTCCGGACCAAGAGAAACCCAAAGTCAAACCACGTCTCTTTGAATATAACATAGAACATTTAATGAGAATCGATCAACGTCTGGAGGAGACAGGGTTGAACTCAGGACTTGAATCATGAATACACCAAAATATGTTGTGTGAGAGGCAGGGTTAGAATAAAAGAAAACTAGGACTCACCCTCCACCACTCCTCGTTGGAGTCATCTATCACAGTGATACGGTCCCCAGCACTGAGGAATAAACTGGATGTGAGTGTTTGAACATTAATATAAAATAATGAGATGTGTGCGGAGGTGATTTCAGAGAGACATTGGTGGAGGTGTGGAGAGAAACTCACTGCACATCCAGGTCATCCTTCTCTACGGCCTTGAAGCGATACAGAGCCAGATAATAGTGAGACTGACTGAACACACCGATCTTCCCCGGCTGAGGTTTTTTACTCTGAGAGAAAACACAAACACTGAAAATTTAAATATCTGCATCCCAACTATATCAAAGTCGTCATTTTCATTACTGTGTTACCACTGCTTTCATAAATCATGATTATTAAATCATCCCTCATCGTGTTCTCTCACTTTGTCATCTGCAGCAGCTTTGTCTCCTCTTTTGTCTCCTTCCACGTTTGCTGCTCCGACGAAAAAAATGACGAACAAAGAGAGACAGTGAGCAAAGGTCCCCAATGGACTCAAACCTGAGACGCACAATTGACCCACTTGACGCCCTGTTCACTCACCTCCGTCACCTCCCTCATCCTCCTGCTTGGGCTGGGACTCGTCTTCCTCCATCATCATCATCATCATCTGGACAAAAGCATAATACAATCATAAAGTCTTTACCGTCACTTTGTCATGACTGGATTGTGCTTTAACAATTGAAATAAAACAAACGTTGAGAACATAAAAGTAAAGAGTCAGTAAAACAATGCACCGGTAAAGAAAGTAAACCCTGAGGATAACATCATAAAGTGTTATGTCTGTGCAGTGAAACACTTTGAGTCCACGCTCACGTTCTTCTTGTCCTCGGAGCCTTTCTTCCGCTCCTTGTTGGCCATGATCACACCGATCCGCAGCGTCTCAAACACAGGGTCGGTGCGGTTCGACTGTGCTGCCAATCAAACGTCATCAATCCATCAACAGAGAAAGTTAACAGGAGATTTTAAAGTTTATTTTAGCTTTACAATAATGGAAGTGAAGAGAATTCTACTTGTTGCAGTTCTGTTTCTCTTTGAATGATTTGTACCGATCAGGGTCAAAGCTCTTAATCATAATATTTTTGAAGCAGTCGTCTTTGGGACTCACAGAAGGGCAGCAGCTGTGAGACCGTGGCGTTCTGTTGGCTGCTGTACAGAGGAGAACTGTACGCTCTCCTGAATCCTGGAGGCTAAAAGACGAGAGGAGACAGAGCACAGAAATAAGTTACTTACAAAATTAAAATATATGATCAGTTTTGATTTAACATCAGATATGAATATAAAACATGAATCTCACAATTTTGCCAAAACACCTCTGGAACTCCACGTAGGACTGACACTGGTGGTGGATGCTGGTTTTGCAGTTTTTACATCGCAATGCAAACTTATTGTTCACTGAAAAAAAACAAAATAAAAATCACTAACAAAGACACTGAAGTCCACTTCGCTTCATCAGACAGGAAACACAAAGAGCCAGCGTACAAACGATCATGCGCGCGCAGACGTCACAAAACTTGGGTTTTTTGCAGTAGTGGTCTTTGAATTTGTGAGGTCTGTCGTTCACTGGTTTAACTGGTTCTGGAGGAGGAGGCTCCTCTTTCTCTTCCTCTTCCACCTCCTCATCGTAGATGAAGTAGACCTGAAGATCAATGAGCAGGGAAGAGAAAAAAAAAGGGTTAAAGCGTTATTATGCACTGGTTTTGCTAACAGTGGCTAGATGGCTAATGTAAACATTGTTCCTGCGCAACTGAAACGCCATCAACTCGGATCATGCGTGTGACGTCACTGGTTCTGGGATCATGAGGAATATATCCATTGTTCAGATGACTTTCATTTTTCCTCTACATTAAAACCGGTTCCTTTCTCAACCAAATTCACATCCATGTGTGGCTGCAGAGGGCGCTGTTGCTCAGTAAAAGTGACATGGTGTTGCTTTAACATGAAACACATTATCCTTCATTAGGACGTGACCATCAGTGTTCTGTAGATCATAAAACACTGACTGTTTAATCTGCATGTTTCAAATGAGGCAACAAACCTGGGTGCTGCCGTTCCACTGAATTGTTCTGTGGCTGTTTCTTAATTTATCCTGCACCACCCACCAACAATATGAAAACAATTCTATTAATACTGGCGCTCCCTGCTGCCTGAGTCACATGGAGTCTGTCTGTTCTTCACACAAACTGCATCATATCAGCCAGGTCTGTAAATAACAGCTTCACCACTGTGTGTTTATTATCGTTCTGATCAGATTCACATTTTAGAAAGAATATCTGCTCGATACTGGGAGTTTTCAGACTCTTTTGCATGAAGGCACACACACTCACACACACACACACACACACACACACCCGCGTGCACACACAAACACATATTTATGCAAACCACAGGCGGGACAGGTTCAAAGGGTTCAGATCTCAATATAGCTTCGAACAGAGACCGAGAGAATTCACAACTGGATGTAACAAAGCTTGACATTGCTAAATAATCTGCAGTCTATTCAAACAGAGACACAGGATTGGCACACACACACACACACACACACACACGGGGGGAAACTTGACAGGCTGAACCGGCTCCGTGTCTCCATCACAGGCAGGATTAGAGGCGTCCTGCGGTCGTCAGGCCTGGATTTACACCACAATAACTGATAATACCAGAAACAGTTCACACATTACAGCGTCATTACTCTGCAACTCTATTTAGCTGAAGGATTCCTGAGCAAGCTGCACCCCAGTGCCTGAGGGCCTTCATCAACTTGCAGCTGAGATATTCAAACTTCTCACTTTGGAAATCATTCACATATCAGGGGAGCAGAAAAACCCATGATGTGATATCTGTCAATATCCTCTGGATCATCAAGAGATGGATTTTCAAGAAAAACGAAGCTCAGTAAATACATGTTCCTACGTCTGAGGGACATCCAGATGAGCAGATACTTTGTCTTATCTTCCCGGGGTGGATTCAGATGTGAGCCTCTTCAGGTAATGATGCTGGGCTCCTTCCAGGCCAAACAAAATGGAAGTGAGCCTGAAGTGGCCCAAATATCCAAAATCCAATGTGAGCCTTTTCTGGATAAAATGTGCTCTGGACCAGATATGGGCCAGTTCTGGTATATTTAGTTCATTCTAGGCTGACATGTAACTTTGCTCCTCCTTGACTATGGTAAAAATCTGGCAAAAACGGGAACAGACCACCCATACATCCCATCATTCCTCCACATAATATAACGGTGAATTGATAGTGTTGAGTGTTCACGGCATTTTAAGAAATACAGCAGCTTCCTTTCCTGATTTAATCACAAAGAAGTTTTCCTCTTTTATCAACCTTTTAAAAACAATTTACAGATTTACAACTCACTCCCATTCAAACACATGAATACAGAGCTTTTCCCGTCACACTAAACCAGGAGTTTGGGGTTTAGTATCTTGCCCAAAGACACCAAAGAGTGGAAGAGATGGGGATCAAACCACCGACCTCCCGATGGACGACTCTCTCTACCTCCTGAACCAACATGGTCCTGTTAATAATCCACCTAACAAACTGTTAACATTTGTCAGTAGAACTACTTTTAAACCAATTAAACCTGTTGACTTGTGTTGTGTGGATTATCCAGAGTTCTCAAAATGTTTATTCACCGTTGCAGCAGAAATTTAAGATGTTATCTCAAATTAAAATAAAGCTGACTGAAGAGGTGAGTACTACAAACATAAATATTAGGTTTCATGACTGAAGTGTTCTGTTCATCTGACTTGTGATCAGGCCCTCAGTGTGTGTGTGTGTGTGTGTGTGTGGGTGTGTCACATTAGTAAGTGCTGGATATTCGATGTCTCACCGTGTTGTCCTCCTCTTTCACCACGTTATCAGGGAGAGGTGGGTTGTCATGAATATCCACAGAGCCCTTGTCATCCAGCCTGTCACAGAAGCAAATGTCACATCGACAAGCAAATGTTTGGATGCAGAAAATAAAGTGTGACTAAGATTTGTTATGTATCAGAGCCTGTCTCAGAGGATCTGGGTTCTTTTTCTGTAGTTACAAGATACACTTTGTGTTGACTTGATTATTGATTCATTTTTATATTATCTTTGTTTTACTGATATTAGGAGACTGATCATGCAAATGCACCACTGGAGACCACACAGCAATGGTCTTTACAGGTCTATCCCTCCATCATCTTCATCAAACACATGAGGGAACTTTGAGAGTTTTAACATCATCTGCAGACTGAACTCACGAGTCGTAATGAGCCATGGTGTCTGGTCACTTGTAGTTTTGTTCCTCCAGATATTGAGGGATTCCACCAGCAGATGTCACTGCGGACACAAAACACGCCAGCATCACTTCAGCTGCAGCAAAGAAGATTCTTCTCCCTTTTAATGTCTGATCATTTCTGTTCGTTACGACTGAGAAACCACCACTTCATTAGATCTGTCACCTTCACACCATTAATTCACATGTTTGCTTTTCTCACCACTTCAGATTCACACGAGTGAACAAAGTGTTATTATATTCAAACAGTAAACAGTGAGCTCTGCTCAGAGAAACTTGATCTTAAGTTAAAACCAAACTCCCATGTAACTTGGTACATGTGGTTCGACTGCACCTACAGGGGGTTTAGATGTTTCCCTCTTCTCAGGTTGCTCGACATGTGAGAATAAATGTTAGAGGCACGGATATGAAAACATCCAGTGGACAATCAGAAATTGCTCAGGAAGTATTAGTATGAGGTTAAAATGATCACAGGAGTGAAGATCATTCTTCTGGATTCATGCACATGCATAAATAATATCAACTGACCGTGAAACTTGAACACCACTTCTTATCACAGAGACGTGGTTCTTATAAAGTCAGTGCCGTCAACTTGTGGATACTCTGTCCAGCTTTTTCTACCAGCCTTGTTGTTCCTTTACATGCTCAACTTTCCAAATGAGGCTCCAACAGGTGGGAGATTGGGATGAGTAATGCTAGCAGACCAACCCCGGCCCAGCCCTGTGTGTGTCTCCGTGTGTGTGTGTCCCTCGTGTGACTGTTCTGGACAGCTGAGCACTTTAAAAGCTGAGAAGCAAAAATCCAGAGTGCTCTGCTTCCTCACTCAGTAAAGAGTAATGACAGAGTATTCTCTCTCTCTCTCTTACACACACACACACTTGTTCCATAGTCACAGTATCTCCTGTAGACAATAAAATTCTCTTGACATTGTGTGTATTATTTCTATTTTATTTTAATTGTGGGATTAATCAATTATTATTTTATCTTATCGTTATATGTGTCATGGTTATAAAATCAGGCTGGGGAGCATGATTGTGCTCAATATGTACAAAGAGGTGATGAATTAAAAGGAAATCTCCAAATGGACGAGTGGAGAACCAGAATGTAGACACTAACTTACAGGGTACAAGAAAATAATGGGTTTTTGACAACGATGTGAATCAGATTCAGAAGGTGTATGAAAGTAGGCACATCCAAACTTTCTTAACACTAGGCTCAATAGGTGGAGTGGATTGTCCACTAAGCAGAAGGTTAGTGGTTCCTCCACGTGGTGAAGTGTCCTCGGGCGGATTACAGGACAGAGTTGACGATAACCAGAGGGTAAGGAATGTCTCACAATCATTCTGATTACAACCCAGGTAATGCACACACCCTTCTTCAGACCCTCGGCTGTGAAGAAGGCCCTGTGCTCGAAAAGTTACCTAAGGTCATTTAAAAGTTAGTGGAGCTCAACTGGTGCAGACAAGCTGTTCAACATCACCTGATCTCAGCTCAACACTGACTCTCCACCATCATCAGAACACAAAATGAGGCAGTATCACCCCTCCAGCACAGTGAGAGATGTCAAGAATGTACATCAAGCAGCAGTGAAGCTGTAATGTAAGATGTTTGAGTTTGCAAATAAAGACTTGATTCACTTTCAGTAAAGTCAAACAATGAAGCACGTGACACAGAGGATGTTTTGATAGATTTTTTCTCGACTTTTATATTTTTAAAAACAAACAAAAAATAACAGATTAAATAAAATTTACAGTAGACATATGCAATCATTGTGCACTTAAACTACTTCTTCTGATACGTTCTGCACAGCTGTCAACAAAAAACGCAAACACAGTGGGGCGTCGGGGTGGAGCGAGGGGGCGGGGGTGGGGGCTAGGATAGAGGACAGAGGAAGTGAGGTAGAGGGCCGAAGAGGAGGAGAAGGGGATGAAGAGGAGGGAAGGAGTAAAGGATAAAAGGAAGGCCTAAACTTTTGTCACTCAGGGAAAGAAAGAAAAAAATCACTGAATATATAGATTTCTTTTATTCCTTACATCACTTATATAAATATATTGAACCCCAAAAAAGGAAAAAAAATCTCAGAAAAAAAACAAAAAACAGCGCAATACAGAAACCCACAACAGCAGTAAGGCAAACAGAAAGCAAGAGAGGAGAGAGCAGAGAGTACATGAGAGGGACAGAGGAGCGGAGATATGAGACATGGCAAGAAAAGAGGGAGGCGCAGCGAGGGAGGGCCGAGAGAGCGCAACTGTGCGTATGAAAAATGTATAAATATGTGAGATTAGCAGACGGCTGGGTGACGGAGAGTGGAGGGAGGAGAGAAAGTGGAGGCAGAAAAAGGACAAAGGGTTGGAGAGCAGAGGGGGTGAGGAGGAAGAGGAGGAAAAGGTTTGACTGAGGTCGACTGTCCAGTGTGTTTTTGTTATGTGCTACGTGACCCTGTTGCCTGTGTTTGTGTGTCTCCTGGGATGTGTGTGTGTGTGTGTGTGTGTGTGTGTCTGTGGCATTGCATGTTTTCATATAATGGCAGCACACATTCCACGGCAACAGTGAAACACATGCTCACGTGTCTTGTGTGCTCTTCTGCTATATAAATACAAAACAAAAACAATGAATAAAAACAAACGACAAAATCATATTTGCAACCGATCACCAGACACCTCTCGATTCACACCTTCTTCCCTTTTATAAATTTAACTCAAGTTTTTTTTTTTCTTTTCTCGTTTTTGAATTGTACACTAAGAGCAGTCCCCCTCAGTCCTCCTTCCTTTTCCACCAATCCACCAAGAGTCTCTCTTTCTTTCTGTCTCTGTCACTTTCTTTCTCTCCTCCCCCTCTCGTTTTCTTTCACTGAGAACTGGCTCTCTCCAGTACGCGCAGGTCATAGTTCTTTTTGGCGGCCCTCAGTTTGAAGAGACTGGCCCCGCTGTTGTTGAGTTTGAAGGAAGCACTCTGGGCGGCCATGGTGCTGGGAAACACTGCCACTACTGTGTAGAGGTGAGCTGGGTCGTTGCCGTCGCACTTCGCTCCCATACTAGAAGGCCCTGCGCCGGGACAGGGGCCGCAGCCTCCCGCTCCTCCGCGGCCTCCCTGGGGCTCCTTCAGCCACTGGATCTTGGCACCGCACATTGACAGCTGGTTGAAGAGCTTTTCAGCCTCTGGGCGTGAAATCCCCTCCGGCAGGTCCGTTACCTCGAGTACTCGACTCACCACTGGACAGAGGAGAAGCGGGGAGTCAGTGAGACACATTAGATGTTGGCAGGCACGACTGCACAAGCAGTATCTTTAGAGACTTGAGGCACCTGTTTTCAGAGACATGCTCAGTGTGGCGGCTCATCTGTTTCAGCTAAACACTTTTTGCAATGTGCAGTGCTTAGGGGAATTACGGTGTGCGCAGCCCCTGAGGCCAGCAGGATGCTCCGAAGGAAATCCAATTTGGCGTATTTACAAAGGCTGTTGAGCAGCATCTGAATGCAGTGCTACAAGCAAAAGTCAGTTTACTCACAACAACCCAATGTTTATTTAATGGCATCCACACCAGATGGAGGAATTTGTGAGGAAAACAACACACGCACAAAAAACTTAAGGCTGAATAAAAGTGATACAGACGAGCCACAAGTCTGTCCCCCAGTACAGACTCAAACGTAGACCTGAACAACACAATGTGTGAGAGTTTATAACAACACCTGTAAAAAAAACACACAAGGTCCTGTGGAAGATTTACTGATCCGTGATTGTGCAACGTTAACTCACCAACATCAGTGGTGCCGAGATCTGTAGATGCAGATTTGAGTGTTTGTTTTTTTCCTCGTGACCCGTGTTTCATTACACCTTGGCCCTGAACACAGTGAGACAGTTATTGTGAGGGTTTCAATTATGATGCAGTAGCATAACACGACACTAGATGGGGATATAAGCATCCACTGGAAGCCTCTGGTAACAAGGTCTTTGGAAACTGTAGACAACAACAGTTACAAAATACTACAGAAGCAACATATACTTGAAACACCTTGTCAATAGCAGCATTATCAAACATTACCATTATCCAACATAAAATGAATGCTGTTTTTACTATGACATATGCCATGACATCGATATCACAACCTTTCAGTTAGGATCCAATACAAAGGCCTGTCAGTACTGACCTGATGGGAGCTGTAGGAGGACTGGCCATGTATGAGGGAAGGCGGACAAAGGCTGTACTGGAGAGGCTGCCCCAACAGAGAGTAGCGCCCATCACCTAAAAAATGAAAATAAAACAAGTTAAATCCTGAGGTGAAGAGGGCAGCAATAAAACAGTGTTATATGGATTAATACACTAACACACAACAGTCATAGATGATGGATTATTTGAGGGTTCATTTACTTGCCAGAGATTTCACATGATTCAAGATTTTATTTCAACATAACTCTGGGAGAGTTCAAAGACAGAACTTGCAAAGAATCACTAGAAAATTGGTTGAATTCAGCTCACGACTACAATATTTTACCATTCTGGAGTTTGAAAGAATAGCACTGGTTGATTTACAGGGATCTCTGCCAAAAGAAAGACTGTTTGACAAATAATTATTTCCAGACAGAGGGTGTATTTCTCAGGTATTGTGGTTCAGGGTGTAAATATAGGTCAGAGGACAGGGACGAGGGAAAGCCATGTGTGGGTACTAGACGTTCCAGCAGGATGCGTGGTGCCAGTCACGCGAACCAGCTGTGGTAAGACGATATGATGTTAAAGTGGCTTAAGGCCAAAAGTCACCTGACAAGGTTCAGAGGGTGAAAGAGCAGGAGTTCAAACACACTTAGTTGGTTTATTTTAACAAATCCTTCTCTCATTAATCTGTATTAAAAGATATATCTTTGGACTTAATGAATAAATATCAGACCATTAAATGAAGATTGATTTCAATGAGAAAAAATCTTTTTTAAAACCAGCCCTAGTTCCATAGCCTGAAAACGGGACCAATCAGCGAGCGTTTGTTTTTTGCTCATGCTATTTTTGACCTCACTTTGTCACTTGTATATAGGTGTGATGATCACCATGGTCAGTGATACATTTCAGCATTTACATGCACTTTCTTCATTCTTGGTCTCTGTATCTGCAGAGACCATGTTTGTTGCAGGATTTTACTCACATATTGTTGTATCTGTGTATAATCTTTCTGCATATATGTATTTGAACCTTAACTTTTCTCAGTCAACTGTACCTTGGGCTGGTCCTCCTGGCCGGGGAAACTGGGAAATAAGGGGTAATGGTCCAAGGCCTGGACAGACGCTGCTGACACTGCCAGAGGGAGATGGGGTGGGCGACTGAGTGGGGGAGGCCAGAGGACTTGTCAGCTGGGTACTGGCCTGGATATCAAGAGAAAAAAAGAAAACACAATATAAAAATCAGAGCCCCATGTTCCGGATCAAATGATCACCTTTTCAGCTATAAATAAATTGACTTCAACCTGCAGACTTCGACAAGCAGTATTACAGATGGCCACTAGGGGGTGGATTGGCAAATAATAAATGCACAAATTAAAAGATGTAGATAAATATTAGATGTATGGGTTTGCAGTCTGGATTCATACAATTTTCTGAATGTGCACCTGTGGAGTGTTGTCAGGTTTGTAGAGCTCTCCTGGCTTGCTGGGTCTCTGCTCTATGCTGTAGTACTTGCATGGGTTCCACTGAACCAGTGGAGGATTCTGGGAAGGCTGTGGTCCATTGGGGACACTGAGCTGCATGACCATCACCCCAGGCCCAGGAGGGGGGACTCCTGAGGAAGCATAGAGACAGAGACAGACACATATGCAATTAAACAGGTGGTTTATGCTATTTTCAGTAGACACTGTAAAAGGACTTTTAACAATACTGACCGGCCAGAGCCAAACAAAAGCCTCCGTTTAACCAAGTTATGCCCTGAGCCTCATTTTACAACATATTAGAAGTATAGAAGATCAATCACAGTGGTGAGTATTATGGGTTCTACAGGTGAAGAAACTATAAAAAAGTACAATATAAAATCACACTCTTTTAGGCCAGATACTTGAGAAACTGACCCACTTCAACGCTTTACAGACAACCTGTAATATAAAGAACCATGATGATTCATTTGCTGGTAGAAGATTAACATCTTATTTGCCTGACAGTATAAAAGCGATAAGAAGCTAGAGGACGAACTACATTCATTATTCTCACCACGTAAATAAGCTGCTGACAACATCATGTAAAATTCAAGACCCTAAGCTGAAACCTATTGTCGAATTAAGCGTGAGGGCAGGGGAAAGTTTGAAAACAAGAGACTGAATTATACATTTAAAGATAAATCACTCACATAGACAGGTTATTATTTATTGCTCCGCAGAGTGACTGACTAATCAAATTACTCTTTAAAAAAAGAATCAAACACGTGAATAAATAGTGCGCAGAGTTTGAAAGGATGATGTGATGGTCAATTCGATCTATTTACTTAAAGGAAAGAACTTTATTTCTTCACACACAACTTTTTCAAGGACATTAGTTTAAATATTTAACAAGTGAAACATGTGCTTCTGTCTGAACTTCAGCCTGAAAACCTTTCACCTGATTCTTCTATCAGTCATATAGAGTTTCTAGGTATTAACAACACTATGACTTTACAATGGACAGCTCCTCCAGTCTGCATGTCAAAGTGCCCTTGGGCAAGATACTGAACCTCAAATTGTCCCTGACATTGTATGAATAGTGTGTGATGCAAAAAAAAAATGCAGCATTTATTAGTACTGTATGAATGTGTGTATTAATGGATGAATTTGATTTTGTAGAGTAAAGCGCCGAAGTGCTCGATTAGACTAAATAACATAATAAGACATGTATTTTATGGATGTCCATTATATGATAAATACAAGAGGCATTTGTTGACTGCTCGACAGCAAAGTTGGCCTCACCTGAATATTGCTGCTGCAACTGCTGGGGGTTGCATGGGGATGGTGACTGTGTGATTTGATACTGTTCGTTGCTGGGCTGCAGATAACCCACTGACGGGCTTCAGGACAGACACACACAAAAGGGAGAGAAAACAATTACAGACATATCTTAATAAACAAAAACTCTAATGGTCTAAAGTTTCAATGTTCAGCCGTCAATGGTAAGAATCTGACAATATGAGCTCTGAGGTTAAGTTTCCCAGTTCCTGTTAGCACACATCTTGGTCTGAAGGATGAAAACACACTCAAAGTAAAACTAAAAAACACATTATTGGCAATCATGAGCTTCTATAGAGAATTTTGCAAATTAATTTTGAAAGAAGGAATCAAAATACCAACGTTCAAGCTTTTACTGCTTGCTCATAAAGATGATAATTACAAAAATAATACATAAATCGTTATGACTGCTTCTTTAACTGCTTTAGTCATCAAAGTGTCTGATTACATTGTTTGTTTAATGCGTGCAATGCTTTTCCACAGAAAGCTTAATATAAAATAAAATATTTCAATACTATTTACAACTTTTTCGTACAAAAATGATATATATGTATATACCTTGTGCTATTCTGCTGTGTGGGTGTGATAACACTGTAGTAGACAGGCATGGGCCCCTGCACAGACTGGCTGACTGGTACCATCACCTGCTGCTGGTACTGCTGCTGCACCACCTGCTGATTTTCATTTCCCACAGGCACCTGGGTTAAAGTAAAGGGTCAAAGGAGAGAACTGATTTTAATTGGTGGTTTGCGTCACTCCTGGAAAACTTAAAAAGTTAGGATTATTTATAGACAAGAATAATAGACACTGGTAGCCATTTGTGTGCCTGTACATTTTCATATTCTGTTCTTATCTGGAAAAGTGATTCAATCTTCTCTCACTAGATATTACTACTGAATGAAGGTAACTAAAATTATGAAGATAAATTATCAAAGCAACACATGTTTGAGGTCAGTTAACTTTGTCTGACTCTTCAGTGTAAAATGATGATGTAAATGTGCACCAGATGTAGCTGTTGAACCTGGTGACAGTCTTCTTTTTTTGCTTGTGGGGCTTAAATTCTTTCAGCCCACCTGATAAAGCTCACTGAAAAGTGTGCATGTTTTGGGTAAATATTTACAACATTACAAGTTGAACCCTATGTGGGACTTAAATCATCCATACCTGATATGATGGCATCTGTGGGTACTGGACCATTATGCTTTGCATTTGTCCTCCCATGCCTGCCCTCTGGGAATTGAGCAGACCAGGGTTTTGGGGCTGCTGCACACCCATCATGCTCTGGTAGCTCGGCTGCTGGCTGGGCATCATCGTCTGGAGACCTGATGACAACAGACAAAAAAAAGGGAAGAAAATTTAGGATGGATGTTGAAAACAGTAGAGTAATCAAAGAGGATGGATTGGACTTGGTAGAGAAAACAGCTGCTGAGCTTTTGCCTTTGAGGAGAAAATGAATGTACAGCAGGAGAGAAGAAGAATCGACTCCACTTATTGCGAGAGTGTTAATCCTTGCCCAAAGGATAATATTTAGGCTGGAACTGGAAGACAAAGAAAAAACTAATCTGGGCGAGCTTTGCCTTGGTAAATATGGTACACACAATATCGCTTTTCCATAAAGGAGTTTTAATAGCATTTTAAAAATGAATGATGATAGAATACAGAATTATTTGTAGAGATACTCAGCACCCCAACAGGCTGCACATTCATTATGTTTCAACAATCACAACTCAACCAAAGGGAGCGGAAGAGAGTTAATTATTTCAATTCAGAAGGGGCTTATTTCACTCTGTTTAGGTTTTCAAGCATAAATCATCATAAAAACACCAAGGCAGCAAGACTGAATGATGCAAGGTCCCACTGACGCAATGTCCATGATCCATGTTGTTTTGGCAGGCCTCCACTGTGAGCCAGAGTCCATTTAGGTTGTCAACAATTTTCTACCTGTCACCTACTGTATAAACAGACAGCAAACCTTCACAGTGCCTGACTGAAAGTCTGTCGGATAACTCTTTCAAGGTTTTACCAGGAAAAAGGAAAGATTTCTATTTTGGGCAGAGCATATTTGACTTGGCAGAACAATGCAAGGTTGTTTAAAATCAACCTTTCACCTTGCAGACTTGAAACAGAGTATGATTCAGCAATTTGTTTTTTACTGACACCATAAAATCTTTAGCAATTCATGATTTTCATTTTAAAACAATGTAGAGGACATTGACACTGTATATCAGTGGTAATCCAATACAACCAATGTATCCATGCAACTATATACATAAAGTTTATGACAGATTTGAACATATGTAAAACACAGTACAATGTACTGACCTGACTGCTGTGTGGGCTGAGGCATAGGTTGTGTGCGCTGGGCAGGATAAGACACCTGGTGAGACATGGGCTGGGGCACACGGTACTGCTGGCCTGAGCTGGGATACTGACCAGGAGGATAGTATGACACTTGTATCTGAAGAGAAGCAACACAGACAACAGTTTAAAAAGGTTAAACGCACAGACTCAGATTAACCATGTAACTAATGTTTAATGTCTTTAAATACAACTAAGGGTCAGATGGCATAATTATAGCTTTCTTTTCATTCTTAGGTCAACTGGGAGCAGAAAAACACAACTGGAACTGCAACATTAACATAATATTGGTTGGTCACTACTAACTCCTGTGCTAAATATCTGTCTCTTTAGCAACTAAATGCCACCCGCATGTTCACCAGTTAGTCAGAAACTGTGTCTGCTGCTTGCTGCTGGGTAACAGGTACTCCCGTCAGTTCTTAGAGCTTTTTTAATGAGAATGGCAGCGATCAAAAATGACAACAAAATTAAAATTAATAAAAGCAGTTAAGTATTGTACCATCAGAACAAAACATTAAACTGGGGGTTCATCACTCGTATCAACCTCTTTTATATAGTATTGTCATGTGATCCATTGTGAACATTAAATTATTATTGCAGTCTTAAAACAATGCCTCCAATAACTCTGTGCTTCCTCATCAGTATTCAACAACAATACACACAGACAAGAGCATCAGAGAAGATATATTTAACAGCACTTAGAGGTACAAGTGTGGAGTTTTGTAGCTGGAACAAATTGTGTCTTACACAACTGGACTAAATGCAGCATACAGAATTTCCAAACACGACATAAAACAGACAAACTGAATAACTTGATTGTGAAGAAGATCGATATGTTCTGCCTCCACCTTCATTTGCATACATGACACCATTCAGCCCATCTCAGCTGTAGCGGTGTCAATATTTCCACTCCTGTTACACTGTTGACAGCCCACACGTTGACCAACACAGTGCACACTGCATATATTTCTTTCCCAGCCTGTACTGTTTGGTATATAGATCTAAGAGTGAGGATAATGTAGAAAAGTGCGTAGGGGGATAAAAAGGCCCAAAAATCCACTGTCTATAGAGGTCACGACCAACTACATCATAAAAGCATAAAGAATGGTACCTTTATGGAAGAGGAAGATCTCAAAACTATTAAATTCCAATAGATAAGGATTACATAGAAGCACTGCAATTATTGGCTACTTTAAAAAGGGCATCTGACCTCAGTGAACCTCTTTCCAGTGGAAAGACCCAAAGAAAAAATAAGAGCCTTGTTGATGAAGCAGTCATATGGCAGACAGCACATTGCCAATGCTTTGATTAATACAGAAAACCAACCAACCCTTAACTTCTGCTTCAATTCTGTGACAAAGGCTCCTTTTGAACTGCAACAAACAGTTAACTCTGTGTCTGTTCTTTCTAATGCTCTCTTCGTCTTTACCTCTGCTCTCTCTTTCTCTCGTGTCTTGCTCATAAAAACGGGATAAAATCAGGATATGGCAACCAGCATCTAATTTAATCTGAATTTTTGATATGATGATTCGATTAAAAACATTTTTTTTCATGGACATATTTTATACGTAGACTTCACTACTACTCCTTTAGAGAACCATCAATGCACTATTCCAGTGGGGTTAGGCAATATAGACTATATGGGTTTGATAAATGGGATGTCTTGTGTGAAAAATGTTTGAGAACCACTGAGCAAGGTAAGCAAGCTAAAGAGCTCTCCTCTTCCCCACCCTAAGCTTGTTCTCACATCCTGACTCATCTGCTGCTACGGCAACAGGAGATAACTTTTCCTCCACCCCCTCTAACCTCACCTGCGCCCCGTTGCTTTCATCCTCTCTCTTTTTGAAGAAGTTCTTTACATCTACAGCCTTCACATCTGACCTCGGTGAAATGGCTCACCGGTTACCACCAGATGTCAACAATAACATAAGTAACTGGTGTGCGCTCTCTCTCTCTAATAAAGACACAAATTGTACATGTGCCAAGTAATGTGAAGCAAATCAGCTGCTTGCATGATACCCACTGGACACAGATGCTACTTATAATATTATTTTCAATAGTTTCACGCATGATCAGAATGACCATGGCTATTCATAAAACAACTGGGCCTGCAGCCTCGGATGCCCAGACCTACCGACGCCTATGCCCTTGGTTATCCATTAGATCAACCATGAAAGATTCAGTCTGCTCTTGGAACAGTGCATTTCACTTGTAATTTAAATGCTATAATTGATGCTTTAATGAACTATTACAGACCTCAGATTCCCTTCACATAGACACAACACCATTACCAATTAAAAAAAAGTGACTTCAGCTATTAAAAAACTCTACTAAACAGACTAGACTATTACAGCTTAGCCACAGAGCTACATTATAGCAGAGCGTCTCCCATGGGGTGTTTAATGGCCAGGTCAATTTAGTTCTCTCTCCTCAAATGAATTATAATAACTCATTTATGGATTTAAGCAAAGGCCTGAGGGAGAGAAGGAAGTGTGTGAGTGACAGAGAGTTAGAGAACTCATTATTGTCACCGCCTCTGCAATTGGAAGAAGGTGACAGGCTGGATGACTGAGATCGAGCTTGTGAAGGTGACGCACAGCGCTGGGAGTGCGAGGACCAAACTCCCCACTGGCTGAATCTTGCTGCTTCACAGGAATCCCATCATCGGAACATCAAGCCTATTGCTTTTCAGTACACTTTTGAGTAATTCTGATAAGATGGTGAAATCTAGTCTTTCAGGTCAGATGTAATGGAAATCACAGTTACAAAATTCAAGTACATTCAATTAAAAAATGACACATTATTTTGGGTTCAAGTGGATCAGTTTCTTCATGGAAATTTCAACATTTCCTGTTATAAGACCAAAATAATATGGGTTGTTCCAGGCAATGTCTTATTGAATTACAATTAAATAGAAACAGAAATAGCCCTTAAAATTAGCATTAGAGTTATTAACACAGAACACAGGTTCTGATGACAAATCTTTGGTGATTTTCTTGTCAGAGGTGAGTACCTGTGACACAGTTGGTAATAGAAACTGTATTTACAGATACAATTTATAATTCTGTTGCTAAGCTGTGATGTATTTGTCAGATATCTTATTACAAGGGACAAGGAAAGACTGTTATTTTTAATAGAAAACTACAATGAAGACTGTCAAATCACTCACTCTGTTACATAAAGGGAATCAATCAAGCATAATTTCGCTGTATCTGTATGTTAACAAGGTGTGGAGATGATCACACTATACTATTCCCTTTCATCATCCAATCTTAACATGAACACTAATTAATATGGGGTGTTAGGAACATGATCATATACAGTGGCAAAATATAAAAAGACAGAGCTATTTCCATAACAGGAAATGATTAGAAAAAGAACAGATAGGAAGAAGAATAACTATTTGATATTTTTATGTAGCCTAAAATAGATAATTAAACCTACTTATACAAAGTTGAACCAGAGTTTTTCTATTCTCAGTGTGCACAGGACCATCTTCAAATAAAATAACCGCAAACAATACAAACTTATTTGATTAATAAAGTAGCCTCATAACATATATCTAATACTAATGCCACCTAGTTCGACCTTCATTATCTCACATTAAGGATTATTTTATTGCACAAATCTATTGTGAATTACTTTGTTTGGATTTGTGATACATTTAATTATTGACTATAACAAATGTGCTTTTACATACATTCACTGGTAAGACTACAAAGGTGTTTTATCTTCTGACACCTTGGCAGCTAAATAAAGCTTTTAACCCATGGTACTGTCTGATAAATAAAACGATTCATGTGACTAGCATGATGACTAACTTTTATAATGTCTCTGGCACGATGTGAGAGGAGAGGGAGAGCCGCTGCTGCCAGAAGAGACTGACTTCTCTGAGCAACATGCATGGAAATAAACTTAAAAATAACACATTTGGGGAAATTTCTCACTCCCCCTGATGATTGACTTGCTACTAATATTGAGATGTGGAGATGAGGAAACACATTGCAAAAACACAACTTTGCTCCCCTAATCAAACAATAGGGGAGCATTTGCACCACTTAAATGTGTATACACACCTCAATGAGTGTGATTCCTTAGGATAATTACAATTATAGTGATAATTAAAAAAACATATCATATGTTCAAGTTAATAAAGACTTTACTACACAAGTGATTGCCAGTTGTGGAGACCTGTTATATAACTTAACATACTGAAAAATATTAGAGAAATAAATTTTAACCTACATCAGATGCCTGAGAATGGTGTACCTGTTGCGGCGGTGGGGGCTGCATGTAGCCTTGTGGGGGCGGTGGAGCCTGCATTACAGGCTGCGATGGAGGGGGTGGTGGAGGTGGAGGATGAGGGTGTCCAGTGGCAGGCTGGTACCCAGACGGAGGCGGCATAGGCTGGCCTGTGGTTGCCATGATGTAGCCGGTCTGTGGAGGGGGGTGCTGGGACAGCACCGTGGGAGGAGCCTGATACATAGGGGGAGGCTCAGGGTTCTCACTGGACCCCTGCCGACTCAGCGTCATCTGGCTGAACTGGGGCGCCAGCTCTTCTCCCTGGGAGGAATGGGAACCATGTAATTTGCAGTTGGTGCCTCTATATCAGTAACTTTTGTGAATTTTGGAGCTGTATGAATGTCACAAAATGTAAACACATTGACAGACTGCTACATTAAATGTGCTATTTTTAAGTCTTCTCTGCCACAGAATGTGATCTCATGCCGGTGGTGATTACTTGCCAAGAGCTTTAGCCATCAATGTGCTTACAAGAAATAAGGTTTTAATATGCCTTCTAATCAGTGATAATTCTTCAGGGCAGACTGGACACTACAGTGACTCACTATCGAAAAGTGACAAGTCGGGCTGATCGATGTTTAGCATGCCGAATTCAGCAGAACAAAAGAATTGATAAAGACACATGCAAATGTGGACAATCATTAAGGTCCTCAAATAGAACAAAAGGCTTTCTTGCTCTGGCTTTAGTCTCAGCCTGCAGCCAGAGAGAAAGTAATGCTGGATTGGTTGAGAGCAGTAAAGCAAAATTCTTACATAACTATGATTAAATACCTAACAGTTGTAAATAAGAGCAGGGTAAGAAGAGTGCAAGAGTCTTTAGCAGAATACAGCATTAGTGTAAGATTGTCAGTAATAAAAAGAGTTTAAATGAATGAATAAAAAGAGATGAAGCTACAAGGTGTCAGTACCATTGTGTACTGCTGGGGAGGAGAAACTGGCAGGAGAACCTGGGGGCAGGAAGGGCTGGAGTAGGAGACAGGCTGAGAGGGCTGCAGAGACGCCACCGGCTGTGCATGCCACCAGGAACAGGGAGGAAATAAAGAATATAAAGAGAAATGAGCAAGCCAGCGAGAAGGAGAAGAAGGAAAGAAGGAAATAAAGAGAAATAAAAACATTGGAAAGACGTGGGTCAGAACACAGAGGAAAAGTTGTTAATGAACAGATGGATAGCAATGGAAATAAAATGTAGTGTCTGGATATTAAATAAAAGCAGTAAAACAATGAATATAAAATCTAGTAGACTCAGAGAGAAACCAGACAGGAACCAGACCGCTGCCCTTAGACATGTAATTAACGGTCAAAAACTGTGAGAAAAAAGTTCCTTCTCCTTATATATGACCAGACGTCAGCCTAGTTTTAAGCCCTAATTTAATAACTATTAATGGAGGAATGTGGTCAGAGGACCAAGAAAGAAAGCTGTTAAGCTGTTAAACTGATCACCACATTGGTCAACACATCAGTAACCGTCTGCATTTGAACACATTTTAACCCTAACCCTAATATCACGGGGATAAAAACAGCTAGTGGAGGTAATTACCTGAGCGATCATGTGGTTGCCCATGGGGTGTTGCTGTGGGGTGGGCAGCAGGGCAGTCTGAGGCGGAGCCTGGGGCTGGGGCTGCTGTGGCTGTTGTGATGGGCAGGGAAGCAGGCTACGACTGGACTGGGAGGCTGCGGGTGAGGTACACACATCAGGACTGACTAGGGAGAGGCCTAGTGATGCAAGAAAAAATATGATGGATACAGGATATAATTGTGGCATTAATGCCTGCGCTGGGCAAAACGATGAACCCAAAACACTTCCCCATGAAAACTATTTTAATCATTTAATGTCTGGCAAGTATCCCTATATTATTCTCAATTTTATGTATAACAGACCACTAGAGGGCAAACTCAAACTAAAATCACAGCACAGGTGAAGCCTGTCTCTAGTTTAAATGTATTGGGCCACATGTTAATCATAGATACCAATGACTCCTCATTGTTATAACTTACCCAAAAGTATCTCTGAATATCTCTTGCAAAATGCAGGAACTCTATCATCATGTGAAGCAGCCAAGAGTTACCAGTGGCACAGAATTTCATGATGAGGGAAAAAAATCGAACAGCTTGAGAAAATAATTTTGGCCACTTTCAAGAGCCTGGCAGAGGAAAGTGTGAGTATTTGACTGACAGATAAAACTTGTCAAATGTGGCATATAGATTCTACTTTTTTTGAGGGTATGAATGGTAAAATTTTGCATTTCAGTAACAAGTTATCTGAGAAAATCTCTGTGCTTATTGGCTATGATCTAAAGACGAATAAGCCTCTGGGGGAAACAGCTAATATTTTGAGGCTTTGAGTGTAGACAGCGATATCTGTCTTCTGTTGGTCGTTCACTGTTTACAGTCTGAATAGTTCTTTTATCACGAGTTGAATGTTTCTCCACACAAAACCCAGACTACCTTTTGTCAGTGTTTTAGGTCCATCTGACATTTTGACTTATCTCTATTAACAGCTATCTGCAGATGAATGCAGACAGATTTAAAAACAATAGTTGATGCTCTTCGGTTAATGTGTTTCTTTTCCTCTCCATGCAGACCGCTTACCTGTGGCCAACCAAATTCTGCTCAAATGTGATTGGTCAAACTAGAAACGGAGACCAGAAGGCTTCCGGCTCAAAACTCTTATCCCCTTACCAACAGATTCTGCATATTCACATGAAGAATCTGTTTAGAGAGATAACACTAGCTAACACTAGTCTCAATCACATTCATTACAGAGATTTAGATGTTTCTCCTTCCCCTCAACTCATCTCTACAGTCCTCACCAGATCGAGAGCCTTTGCCGCTTCCCTGTGAGCCTTTGTTGCTGCCGAGGCTATCCCCTCTGGTGAGAATGGATATGCCAGAGAAGCTGCTGGCCTTAGTGACGGGTGGCCGGAGGGTGCGGTTGGAGCTGTCTGAATCAGTGCTGCTCCAGGGCCGTGGCTCCAGGCACTTCATGTCACTGTCTGTGCTGCTTTGACGACTACTAGATGCCCGACTGGAGCTCTCACGATTCCCTCTGAGAGAAGACAGAGGAGGGAGAGAGAGACAAAGAGATGAAATGATGGGGGGGTAAAATGGGTAGATGGAGAAAAAGGGAAGAAAAAACAAAGTGAGGTAATTGGGGTGTTAAAGTGAAGAGAGTTAAGAGATCAGTGAGAGATGTGTGAGAATTACAGAGAGAACAGTTGAAGAATAAGTAGTCAGAGGAGGAGAAACACAAAAATGTGTAAAGGTAGGAAGAGAAATATTTCAATAGCAGGGAGGATGTGCACACAGGAAAATTTGAGGGAGAAAGGAATGTAGGTTGGGGCAGAACCAAAAGACAGTTAGACAGAGAGGGATAAAGGGGGGGAAGAAGCAGAAGAGCAAGAGAGGGTCATCAACAGGTAAAGGAAACACACAGTTCGACAGGCTTTAGGGTGGGGCATTCAACACAGATGCATATAGTCTAGTTCCATGAAACCACGATACAAAAGTCAGGCAACAATCCACCATACAATATTGTGTCCAATTTTTAAAATACAACCACACACACATTCACACACACAAACAAACAAACCCATCCACAGAGAAAAACACACATGCAGGGAGAAAAGATGCCACACTAAGGTGTAAGAGGGTCTTACAGTGACACCAGATGAGACAAACTTCCATGAATTCAACGCACAAAAGACTGAAGACAACATTCACGTGAAGGACGATCCAGAATGAGCACTTGCATACAAACGAGTACATGTTGAATACAGATAAACAGTAACACATGCACGTATTGTATTTAAGACAAGGAATGATGTAGAAACAAGACACACATACACCTGTAAATTAATATCAGATGTACACAAACACCCAGACATTAAGAACAGATGTACATCAACACTCAGACTCACACGCACTATCTACAAAATAACCACTTGCTACCACTGGTTCACCACCATGAGTCTTTAAACTATATTGCTGTATACACACTCTTTGTTGTGATGCTGTCACCCTGGATAAGGGCAGCTGCCAAGAAAACCAATGATCACACTGTAAGCGTAACCACCACTGTGGGGGAAACCCCTCCATCACAAGTGGATGGTTGGGTCTGCCATTGACATGTCAGCATTTAGAATATTATTAAGCCACTTGAAAGTGTCTTACAGTGCATGTGCTTGAATATAACAAATTCAGATAAAGATGAAAATCTAAAAGATATGTCAGCTGTGCTAATTTAAGTGGTTCAGGTATTCAATTTAATGTAGACAGACCCACAGCTCTGCCCTAGAGACAGCAGAGGGGGAAAACACCAACGCAGCTGTAAATACTTGATTTTTTCATCCACTTAGGAGTGGAAGAGGGACATGAACAGAGTATGTCTGTGTAGAGAGAACAAGAGTAAAATGAATTCAAAACACGTACGGCTGACTGTGGGAATCTCCATGACAAGAACAGGGATGTGGTAAGGGTTGTAAAACCCTAGCGATAGTGAGTGGCTGTGGCTGATAAATATTTCAAAGAGACTGTAATTAATGGAGGATCTATTTTGAGTCATCTCTCAGCACAGCCTATTTTAAGGAAGACTGGGTGCTCTGCAATTCTTTGTACAGGCAGGAACACACTTGTTCGCTTCGCTCTGCAGACAAAGATGAGAGCGGATGGTGGGGAGAGGGAACAGGAGGGATTTGACTGTTCATCACATGATATTTCATCTCCTCTCCTCATGACGGCATTGCCCATCACATGCACAAACAGGAGAAGCAGGGAAGCTAGGCTGTAGTTATGTGGTTCCATCACTGTCAGGCTTTTAATAGATGCTGAATTAACCCTTGTTTCACTAGAGAGCTTCTTGTTGAGGTTCATTTCAGAGGTTTTACGGTGTTCATAGTATAACAGCTTGTATTCTGTAAAAGGTGAACACCTGATATACTTAAATGTAATGCAGGGCTTGGGTTATTAAAGTCACTTTTAGTTTAAGTGCAAAAAGACTAACATAGGCATAGACATACATTGTTACCGCCAATTTAGGATAAAAGTCAACCTCTGATCAAAAGCAGCACAAATAAAAGTGATAATGAGGCAGGGAACAAATTCTAAGTCTGATTAAACATCTGACACATGAATGTTGGTAATTCATTATTAAATTAATTTAGAGAAGAGAAAAAACAATAACAATGAACTATTATCATCTTCAAAAAAGGAGAATTATTTGTCAGTTATCTAAAAAGTCTTTGGGTTTTGATTTCAGAAAAGGAAATAATTTAAGAGAGGCAGTATTCTGGACAATTGGCGACGGGCGTTTTTCACATTGTCTAATATTTTCAAAGACTAAATGATTGATCAATTAATTGAGAAAGATGAAAGAATAATGCAAATAACATTTGTAAACATGATGACACACAGTCATCAAAGTCTCGTGCTTCGTATTGTTCTTTTCTACCTACAAATATTTCTGTGCTACTATGCAACAGATGACATGTTAACAAAAACTACAAGATTAAGTCAACCACAAAACAAACAGGTTACTGTGAAGCAATGCAGTTACTTTATATAAATAATGTAGTTGACAGTGGATGGGTAAATAGGTCAATCAGTCCCCAGTGAAACCACAAAGCAGCCATGCATGGGCTATGGGAAGCCCCAAGGTGCAGTGCTGGAATAGCCATCAATCAGCCGACTACGCCAAGCAAAGATATAAAAACCACCACAAGTCACCACTATCATCACCAAATCACTCTCAGAAATGGGCATGGCAACAAACAAGTCAAAGTCAGCAGCACCCCAATACCTAAAGATCTGCCTCCTCTTTTGAGAGCTAGAGCAGTAGCCCTCAGTGGAAAGTCTGTTGGGGTTAACATTAGGAGAAAATGCTGGGGTTACAGGACTGGATTGGAGAACAGCAGAGGGTTTTAGGGAGGGTGAGATAAGGAAGGGTGGGAGGTAGAGGTGGGCACAGTAGAGTAAAACTTTTACCCCTGAGAAAAAAAGAAATAGAAAAAGCACACTAGGCAGAAACTGTCTGTTGAAAAGCCCACGCTTCCTCTTTCTCTCTCTCAGCATATTGTGTACTAATCTTTCAACCTTAATGGCAAGGGTGCCGAGGGATGGAGGCTGGCTGTAACTGCTGTGCGAGGTAACTGGAAAAAACAGAATCCACTACATTAAAATCTTTCTCAAAGACCATGTGTCCTTTATAGCCAGATTGACCCTCAAGCAACAATTTCTTTAATTGTTAGATGTAAAAATCTGGCATAAGAGAGAAAATTAGCATATGAATACTGATAATTTACTTGGAAATAAGAATAAAACAACTATTAGATAAATATGTTGCTTTAAGGAAAGTTTTTACACAAGGTGAACTTTGCCACACATTTGTTAACTCAAGAGGTCAGATTTGAAGCCAGAATCAACATAAAGTATTTTAAGTTGTTATTTTTATGGGTCTGTAGCCTTCTCTTCTATCTAAAACCTAACAAGGAAACAGTAGCTGTAAGGGGATAGGTGCAGAGGATGGAGTCTTATGTAGTTCACACACTAGAGTCTCCAATAGGATGCATCATCTTACCTGCTGTCGTTGATGTATCCATTTTGAGAGGACTGTAAAAAATAGGACACCTGCACATTATGAAATGTTTCATTCAACCAGGAGCACTTTAGACCAACATTTTTGCAAGTCAACCTTTCAGAAGTTTTCAAGTTTGACATCATGTGCATTTATGATTAGATAATGCATATCACTTAAAAGCTGTGGTTTCCAATCTGGGGGATGTGGCAGAGAATTGCAAGATGAAAATATGACGAGAATGCTATTACTATGAGAATACATAAAATTGTGGCAGTCAAATGTTTTATTCTGGAATGGTTGTTCTTGCCATATATTGTGTTGTTTTAACTCTATGCTCATGGTGTGATAAACTTGAAACAAACAAGAAACAAACTTTTAGACTTGCAACATTTAATGTGGAATCAAAAGTAAAGGTTACTTTAATTAGCAAGCACAAAATAATGGGAGACAAGTACCATTACTACCACTACAAATAGTTTTTATTCTTTTCTATCAAGACAAGCAGACCTCTTACTACACAACAGAAAACAGCCAATTATAGGCGATTGATTTAAATTTACTGTTAATTTGTTCTTGCCAGTGTAATCTGCCCAGGTTCAAAACTTACTTCTCGGGCAAAGATCCTGTCTCGTACTCGCTGATACTCCTCTTCTCGCTCTTCAATTGACTTGCTACGCCGCCCGTCCTGCAGCGGCACACGGATCTAACGTTTGGGAAAACAATTATATGAAAAAGGTTAAAATCTAAAAAAGAGGTAGTAAAAAGTTAACTGAGCCCTTATGAATGCTCTCCATTTTATGTATAAATTAGTCTTAAATATTGTCAGACAATCAACCAAGTTTAAGTTATGAAGAAAACATTTATTTGATCAAACAGACATTGTACTGTTCACAAAATGGAATAAGTCCTTTAAACCTTCGCAATGTAGGATTTAAAAAAGTCGGTAAAGCCCAGAGACAATTACATCCTCAGCTGAGGTTTTGAGTTTGCTATCATCTGATGTGAACCCTACCTCTCAGAAAGATCTTAGAAATCTTCCTATCTGTCCACACTAGTAAACCAAATTGTCCATAAATAGAAATGATTTAGTACAGTGGCTACTCTCCCTCGAAGAGGGCGTTCGGTTAAGAAGAATCATAAGGCAGAATGTACCGTGAAGTTAAAACAACCCGAAGGCTTAAGAATCACTGAGCTGATTGTTATCTCAGTTCACGCAGATCTTGGCGCAAGTTTGCAGGAGCGTGGTGTCCATAGCAGGACATCACAAGGGAAGGTACTACTCTCAGAAACAAACATCCATTACATATCATTTAGCTGATGCTTTTATGCAAAGTGACTTACAATAAGCGCATTCAACCATGAGGGTACAATCCCAGAACAGCAAGAATCATGTAAGTACATACATACACACATATATAACTTGTTTTTTGTTTTTTTTCAGAGTTTCAGAGTTGATGATGGTTATTAGACCATCTTAGTCAGAAGAGTTGTGTTTTTAGTCTGCAGCAAAAGATGTGTAACCTTTCTGCTGTCCTGGATGTAGACTGGGCCCGATCAGTTCACAGCACAGTACGCAACTACTAGTGTCTTGAGGCGGATACAGACAGCGACTGTTAACAAGTGAAGGGAGCAGAGTGGTGTTAGAGAACTTAGGTAGGTTGAAGACCAGTCAAGCTGCTGCATTCGGGTAGACCAGCCAGGAGGAAGTTGCAGTAGTTTAGGTGTAAGATGACAAGAGCCTGGACCAGAACCTGTGCTGCCTTCTGAGTGAGAAGGGGACGTATTCTCCTGATGTTGTGCAGCATGTATCTACACAACTGGGTTGTTGCAGCAATGTTGGCAGTAAGGGAGAGTTGGCTGTGTCAGACCCAGGTTCTGTGCAGTCAGGGTATGGGCTACCACAGAGTTATCTATGGTGATAGTAAGGTCATGGGTGGGCGAGCCGTTCCCTGGAAGGAAAAGTAGCTTGGTCTTGTCAAGGTTGATTTTCAAGTGGTGTGCGGACATCCATCTTTGCAAGACTCAGTTTCATTTTTGAAAAGAACTGTCATCAACAGTGAGTTGTCCCAAACAGATGTAAACATGTTTGTCTCCTTGGAATGGAAATGTCCTCTAGACATACATAGAGATTATATAACTCGAGCAGAGGGAGGTTGTCATGTTTAGCTTTGAGTATTGAAATCGATGCAGCTCAAAATTTTGCGTTTTAGGTTGCCAGGCACATCAGCTAGTTCCACATTAAACAGCTTTACAAATGTGTTTAGTTCCTTTTGTTTACTTATCATGAACTGAAGCCTCTCGCTAAATGCCTGAAGGAGTTGCAGACGCATTATCATACTGAGATATTATAGCAGGTTGCAGTTTTACTCTTTTCCATTGCCACAGCATGCATGGTTTGCAAAGACAATGATTTCTCCTTCATATCAAACTTGGCAGTTATCCCACGCATAAAAAGTTGGTCAGTATTTGTCTGTTCTTTGATCATGGGCCACAGACAAAGACAGGAAATTTCTTGGTGTCCTTACAATTCATGTTTCCAGCAGTACTGATGATGGAGATTGGCCTTTTTCCCCACCAAACCCAGCACATCTCCAAAATGTTGACACACTGTCTTTCAATTTACTTTAATAAAAAATATCTTTTGTCCATTTCTCTTCGGAAATTAGACATTCCCCATTTTCTTTTCTTTTCTTGACAGTCGCCACAATACCCTCAGCAATAAAAAGTTGACCATGACCTCACAGGCATATAGTCCGAAGTCATTCTATAATTTAGTGCAATTTTCTTTTATCGCAAAAATGTATTTGTATCATAAGTGAATCACGGCTGAATTGCTTCATGGGTCCCCAAACGCTGGAGGTTCCCCACCCCGTCTCACAGGATAAGGTTAAGGTAGCTATCACCCAGCAGAAGTTTGGTGATGCAACAGGACTATGACTGAGAACATCAAAGTAAATCTACTAAAGAATTACTTCAAACAATGAATCCACCTTTTGAAGTTAGCCAATTTGAGCCCAGACCATAATCCAGTAGAGATGCTGCTGAATGACCTCCCGGAAGTAATTCACACTCGACATCCTAAGAATAAGGGGGAGCTGAAGTAGTTCTGAAAGGAAGAATTGTCCAAAGATTTTCTAGAGTTCCAATCTGCGTCTACAGAAAATGCTTGTTTAAGGTTTTTGCTGCCAAAACAAATCCCAGGATTCCCTTTTCCCCCACCAGCATGAATAAATGTTTTATGGTTGTATTCAGTAATGACAAAAACTACAGTTTGTGTCATTTACTTAAGTTCATTGGGTTTGACTTAACTTCTCATATTTTAGGTAATTTCACCTGCACACTTTTTCTTGCCACTTTAAACTCAATTAACTAATACACCCTGTTCTTTGTGAAAAAACAGAAAACAGCAGAGAGGGGAATATTTTAAGAAGCAGAATTAATTAATTAATGTGGAAGATTGGAACACTTATGATGATCAAACTATGTGGTTGAAAATGTAGGGTTTTGACAGAAAATATTCATACAACTACTACTACTCCTGTCGTCAATCCAAGCAAAGTATTACATTTCTCTTCCATTAATGTATTTTTGCATCGCAAAAAACTGTGGTCAGGGCTAAAATGTTTTGAAGCTCACAAACAGCCATCAGCAGCAGTGAGGAACATGTTAAATACACTACAAACTGTAAACTGTGTCTCATTTTAAGAGACGGTACCAGAAAAAGGGTTAGAATTATACATGAGGAAACCCTGGGGTCAGATATGACACTTGAAAATAAAAAGGGTTATCAAGTCATCTTCCATTCTAAACATAAATTTATCATCAGCAATTCTTTTAACTAATATTTAACATATGTCTTGTGACTTGTATTTCATCGTAGTAGCAGTAAATTAATATTAAGTTCATCTTCAACTACAAATAGGTTGTAAGTGTTTGATCATTAAACAACAAATGTATATCGGTCACAATGAAAGAAATGGATAGAAAACATGATATAGTTAAAAGAAATAGAATGGTATGTGCAGCCTACCTGATTATCATCCTTGTCCATGCTGGCATCATCTCTCTTCAGGATGAATTTCTTCTGAAAGTCCATATTACGCTCATCCTTGATGTGTTCAGAGAACCTTTGCTCAGGGCTGTGGAAAAAAAAACCAGAACAAAAGCAGCTTTTTATTATGAAACAACACTAAACAAATATTACCCTTTGACTGCATTAGATAGAAAACTAAGGTTAAAAAGTGTTTCAGCTGAAATTAGAGTAAACAAATTGACTTTTCAACTTTAAACTGTAGGTTACCTCTACACAGTCTGTGTAAATGCCACTCACTGACGTTAGCCTCTGTTGTTAAGTCTAATGATACATTTTAATATTTTACGCATTTGGAAAAATAGCATTTATTACAACTACTTTTCCACCAACAAAGGAAACATTTTTTACATTATTCACATAGCTGCATTAATTGCATTTCTACAGCAACTACAATACACATTAAAATCACTAACATTCTAACATCTGGACTGGAGAAAATTATATATACACCATATTGTGTTTCTTCAATGTTTGAGTTATTTCAGTACATTCTATTAATGGAGGTTGTATATGAGGATTAGAAAACATGAATCTACAGCAGTTTATCAAAGGTTTATGACTCCAGCTGCTGAAGTGTGGACTACATTTAGGAGCTTCACTCACATGCGTGTGTTGCCCGTCTTGTTGATGATGACAGCCTTGCCCGTCTGATCCACATTGTGGTCCATGCCGAAGTAGGCAGCCACACGGTGCAGCAGCATACGGTGATAAGAAGTCATCTGAGGAAACTTCTTATACTGGTTACTGCAGGGGACACAAAAGACACTGCACTGTTATGAACAGCACCTTATGTGTCCATTTCTCGAAAGCTTTTAAGTAATATAAGCAGGAGGATTATGTATCTTGTCTTTGCACAAGGACAGACATTTAAGGGATTCTGTGAACAATTTATTTTTATGTACACAACTGTTTTCCAGATATTTTCAAGAACAGTAAAAAGGGGTATATTTTTTTTCAACCGCTATAATATCTCCTGTTGTCTTGTTTTTYCACAAGAATTATACTAAAAGATTTTTTTATTATTTTTTTTTGAGGTGTATTACAAGCAGGATGTTACACTTTAGGGACATCTTATTTAGCTTTATTGTGCTGATGGTGATATACTGCAAGATTTAAAACAAGTTTCTAATTTTAACATCTGAGTCTTATAATACTATTCTGGTTACAAAGTAACACAGAGGCCGACTGTGAAATACTAACCTAAACTTGCCCCATAATATCAACTACAAGTTGCCATACTTATCTCATTACCACAGCATTCTATAAATATGAAGGAATGGATTTAGAACAGCTAAATTTAAATACAAGCGACTGGTTATGAAGAACGTGGCTTACTTGTCATCATTAATGAACTCCAGGATATCTTGTTCTAGTTTGAGCAGCATCATTCGATCCCTGCTGGGCCAAAGGGGGAAAGAGAGAGAGAGAGAGAGAGAGAGAGAGAGAGAGAGAGAGAAGGGGGGGGATCAGTGACTTGAGTGTTGTGAGCATACCAACCAAAGATCAAAAGGTAGAATATACAGCAATAAATGCTTCTAATAATGGTTGTGCCACTTCTATTATGATGGAGTGAAGTTTGCATCATCTGTCTTTTTATCTGACCTTCTTACAATAACGTGTTGCCATGTGGATATAAGACACAACATAAAATCATATATATGTTATTAGACCACAGAAAATTAAATGGCCCTCACTTATTGACTGCTAATAGAGTATACAATTATATCCACCAGTTGCACCAACATAATGTTGAAAATTATGCAGTGTTAATGTTTCCTCCTTAACACTGCACTACCTGGTGCTTCTTTTGATTACTTAGGTGTTTCCATAATAGGCAATTATTGTGCTTGTCAGATGCATGGCAATCAATAAAACTAAAATGTTACCAGACTGCAGACCAATCAAAAAGATGTAAGAGCATTTTGTAGACATGTCATTTATCTGTTTGTCTAATAGGCAACTTAATCAAGGAACGAAGAGAAGACACTGGATAAACATTTACTATTTAATTATCTAACTTTGTGATCAAATGTTTAATGCATCTCAGCAGCAGTTGGAGCAAAAGTGATTTTGTGAATGACAATAAATAACTAGGGTTTGTCAGTTTCCTAATGTGCTGTTGTTATTATAGCTGTGCATGTGGCATCTCATACCTGGGATTGTTTTTCAGTGTGTTGACCAGAAACTCGTGAACATCAATGCCCGTGGAATCGGTGTATTCCTGACTGGAGTCTAACAAGAGACAAGAACAAAGTTAATAAGCAGGCAGGTGGAAAGGGTCAACAGACTGAGTGAGGAAAGAGAGCAGGTGACACTTCTGTAAAGTGCAAGTGAGATAGAAAGTGTAAAGTCAGATTGCTACTGAGCACAGCTTTACCCCTCAACACTGCAGCAATGGCATTCCAGGTTGTTCAGGGAAGGGTAAACATAAGAAGCAGATGAGATGCCAGCTAAGCTGTTCTGTTCTTTCACACACACAGGCACACACTTCAGGAGATCATTTTCCAGTATTTTCCACTACACTCGACAGTTGGGCTAGACATTTTATCTCTGTTGCTCTTAAGAGTCTAATGATGCCTCTGCAGAGAAAGGGAGTGAGGCAGCTAATTAAAAATATAAGAGGGGGGATCCAATTATTTTCCAGAGAAATTAGCTTGACATATTAGTTTGGCTCCTTCTGCTATTAACAATGTACATTATACATAACAGTCGTGCCATGACAAAAGCATTTTTAATTTACTTATGCAGGATATTTTAACTGAGACTGTTATTCAACATTTATTGTATTTGTAAGGAGGTTAACAAAAAAACAAATAAATACAAAATTTCAATCTTGTCTTGTGTAAGATTGTTCCATAGGTGTGGTTAGCAACACAACAGCAGGCTACAAAATATTTTTTAACTTGCCACGTGAGAGCATCTTTCGTGGAGTCTTGTCCTTCTTCTCCTTCTCATCATTTTCATATTCATCCTTTGACGACTTCTCTTCCTCCTTGTCTGATGGACAGCTGATGTGAAGCTGGATGATATCCTGGAAAACCACATTCCACTGCTATGAGAAAGTATGGTTTCATTTCTAATCTTTATTTTTATTATTTTTAGTCTATTGAGTATTGTTAATTCTACACAAACTGCAGTTAAATACTACCTAGTTTAACTGCGGTGAATGAACTAAGGTTAGAAGTTAGGGGATGAAGTCAAAAACAGGAACAGTACCGATTCTGGAGGTCCATCATTGGAGAATGGACCAGAGGACTCCTCACACACTGCCAGACTCCGTACCAGCTTCAGTTTGGCATTAGACTGAAACACAATCACAAATGTATTATTTTACTTGTTTTTGATTTTGTGGCATCTTCACTGAACATTAAGATTTTATTAACACTAAGGGCTCACATTGCAAGTTGCAAGTGATATACAATTTGACTGCAGTCTGATTTTTAAATGCAGATTTTTGT